AATGCCAGCGCGTGGATCGACCCATGCAGGCATCCTAAGCGACAGCTTTAGATACAAGGCTGACTTTATAAGCACAAATCCAACTTTTTCGGGCTCAAACGTACCATGCGCGCTACTGCTTTTTTTCCCCGGTCCATTCCTTTACTGTCGTTCTTTCTTCCCGCTGTTCTTGCTGGATTGCCCAGCAAAATCTACGGCGTTAATTTGGGTTCTTGGTTCGTTCAATGCCCTTTCCAGCTGTGTAATGCCGTTGACCTTTTCAAAAGGCTCGTCCTAGAGTCATGGATGTTGCCACAAGGTGTGTTTATCAATTACATTAAATGGCGATTCTCATCCGGCGCAGGATGGTTGGACATGGGTGGCCAACAATGCAGCGACTGCTCTACCTGCATCGCAACTGAATTGTGCTTATTTTTTCATTGTGTATCTGAGTCTCTTCTCAATTTTGACCATTTTCAGCGCATTTGCGCAAGCATATCCGGAGACAGTGGACAAAATATTCGAAGGTCATTGGTGAGGCCCTCGCTGAATGGTGGTCCAGCATCCTTATTACTGTTTAGGTCTTCGTGGTTCAACCAAACGGATGTCGATGCTTTGGTCGCTGCGGGAATCAACACCGTTCGGATTCCTGTGAGTGGCTGTATGCTTTTTGGAATTTCTTCCTGACAGAAGTCAGCTCGGTTACTGGATCGTGGAGCCGTTGGTCAATCGCTCAAGCGAACATTATCCTCGAGGCGGACTTGCACAACTGGTGAGCAAAATCGCGTCCTCTTTTGTGTTGGTTTGAAATTTGGCCCCAGCGACGAGGACTGCAACTTCTCCAGAAAGCCGGTATTGGCGCCATCCTTGACCATCACGCTCTCCCAGGTGTACAAACGGCTGGGCAGCAGTTCACTGGACAGTATGTCCTGCATCTAGTCGTTGATATCCATGATGTGAATCGATTTCAGGTGTACGAGCAACGTCGAGTTCTATGTAAGTACATAACGCTCTCATTGCGTAACAGTCTGACCGGACTTCACACAGACTCAATATAACTACCACCGTGCTCTGATCTGGACGGCCGTTATGACCACCCTGTCGCATGTGGATCCGGCATTCGAGAACGTGATCGCCATCGAGGCGGTGAACGAACCGATCATGAACGCCGACGACACTCCCGGTTACGGGGACTTCCAGCAGAATTTTGTTAAGGTCGTCCGGGCCACGGAGTTTTTGTTGGGAGTTCCTACGCCCGGATTCGGGGCTGTCCCGCACCCTGCCAATGGAAACTTCACGGCGATGCTTCCTGCCGTCAACGAAACCACCATCTTCACCCCGGAAGTTCGCTCCGTTTTGCTGGATTCTGTCCCCGTCCTTTTGCAGCTCGGGGTCATCGGTTTAGCTAGGGGCAAAGACCAGCTGGTGACGAAGTATTTATGTTTCTGACTGACCCAGCAGACTATAATTGACCTGTTTCCAAGTTTCATGGACGTCAATTGGCAGTACAACAACCCTGCCAACCCCAGCGACGCCGCAATCGGTCCCCAGCGTTATGATAATCACCTGTACTACGTGTATGTTTCTCTTGTTTTGGCTCGGCGTACTTCAGATTCTAACATTTTTGATAGTTTTGGGGTGGAGCGCTTCTTTATATTCATTCGGGATAACCGCTGATTTAATTACTTGACGCAGGGAGTAGCAGATGCAACCCCCGAGGCATATCTGACCAGCATTTGCAGTAGGTCGGCCACCTCCCTTACGGTTTCAAGAAACTGACCATTGTTCCAGACCTCAACCGTGTGCAAGCGGACGCGGCACTAGGTGACAGTCCCCTCTGGTTTGGAGGTGCGGCGGCCTTCCTTTATGTTCATCTATCCACGGTCCTCATTATTCCCAACCTAGAATGGGGATTGCCCACACAGTTCAACGCCACCGATGAGTTCTTGACCCAATGGGCCGATGCGCAGAAGCTCGCGTACAGCCAGGGTGCCGGATGGCTGGTGCGTTGAATCTCATATTGATGCATCTTCGGTCGTTGACGCTGACACCACCTTTAGTTCTGGAATTTCAAGGTCGAGAAGAGCGAGCTTGCCGGAAACTTGTCGCGTGAATGGTATGAATCATGTTTGCTGGAGCTGCGAGCTGCCCAGAACTAATAACTTATCGCGCACAGGTCGTATCTCGAAGGTGTCGAGCTCGGGTATTTCACCAAAGACCCCTCCCAGGTCCATGATCCGAATGTCTGCGCCAACTACACCACGACCGCGTAAAGATTCCTTCGGCACTTTATCGCCTGTTTAAAAATGCAGTCATACTGTGGTAGCCATGGTATACGTTACTTCTTACTGGATACACTCCTTTGTTACTTACCACACTCTTTGTCGAAACACGCTCCTTCTAAATACCTTACTTATACACATGGTGTATCCTTCATGGATATCTAATACAATTGATCTAACACACCCTGGAAGGAAACCTCGAGGTATACCGAAAATCTCAAAAAAAGCATCGTCCCGTACGCTCTTGATTACCTCCCAACACGTTCCTTATTTGCACGCATACCTGCCGAGGCTGCTTCTCTTCGAGTCTTCGGTGCTCAGTAGAATTTTTGAATTTCCCACTTGGTACGCGCCGATCAATCACGTTTCCGATTGGACTCTTTATGCCGGCTTCTTCCAACCGCAGAGCACATTGTTACAACGCCAGAATGGCAGTTAAATATCTCTATACCAAGGCCCCACAGCTGGCTGCAACTGCGCACATGGGTCAGCGTTCTTCAAGCAAAATCGCTGAGTGATCTTTGTATGGTCCACGCGGACCTTATAGCCCTTCGAGCCACTGAGCGGAGGAAAATGGCTTAAAAGCACCTTGCGATCTTGCCTTCTGAGCCGAGTCGCTAGTATCTGCACGTCCACCCCCAACGATGTTCCCCCTCGTTCACGCTGGTCTTGCAATTATCATTCTAGTTGTCTCCCTCGCCGTACCTGGCTATTCAGCTCCGGGGGTCAGTGCAAATCAAGGCATTGCTGCCCTATCGGCTTCCCAAGTTGCGGCATACCGTCCATACACCTTTTTCGCCGCAACTGGCTATTGCCCGGCCAATTTTACTCTCGCGTGGTCTTGCGGAGGTTCGTTACCAATCGTGGTTGAAAATTGATATGATTGTTTCGTCCCTCAGTAAATTGTTTGGGTAACCCGGATTTCAAACCCGTCGCGTCTGGAGGAGATGGAGAGTCTGTCCAATACTGTGAGCCGCCGAGCCCGTCTCAACAGAGTTTATTTCTGACTGATGTCGAAATTATCGCAGGGTTTGTTGGATATTCGCCGTCCCTCCAGGTACTCCTCTTCTTGGGAATTGTGATGCCTTTTTTCAACTGGCCTCAGAGAGTCATTGTAGCCCATCAAGGAACGCAAGTGAACGATATGTATGTGGGAAACAAATTGTGGATAATTTTCTTGCAGACCTCTTTTCAGCGTGGCCATACTTTCGGATGCTTCGGTCATACAAACGACTCTGAACCCCATCCTTTTTCCCGGCATCGAGAACGACGTCCAGGTCCATTCCGGTTTTATGGAGGAGCAGGCGAAGTGGGTCGGCTGTTTATTTCCACTGCTTGCGTTTGCGACTGAGTTCGGAAGAACCGCAACATATGTTCTAGCTGCTGTCAAGATGGCCTTGGCCAGATATGGCACCAGTTCTGTAACGATGGTGGGCCATTCCTTGGTAAGCTTTGAGCACCGTCAATCTTAGAACACCAATGTTGATTTTTTCTGTAGGGTCCGAGAGTCTGCCTTCCGTTCACAGCCAAGTCTTACTTAACCCTTCAGGCGGCGCCATTGCTCTTCTCGACTCTGTCTATCTGCCGTTGCATCTACCGCCCTCAACCAAGTTCACCACGGTCGTGTACGGATTACCGAGGGTATGTACTTTATATTCTCATTCGAGCAAAGTTCTGACCTGACCGAGCGCAGGTCGGAAATCAGGCATTCGCAAACTACGTCGATGCTCATCTGTCCTTGACACATATCAATAACCAGTACTGCTCTTTCTTCGGAGTTGTCAATATGTTTTCTGAATGTGTTGCAACAGGAAGGACATCGTGCCGATCATTCCGAGTCTGTTTCAACGCCTTTCATGTTCAATTATCTATCGTACTGACTGGTACCGTAGGTATGATCCTAGGTTACGTCCATCCGGCTGGGGAGGTCCACATTCAAGCATCCGGAGAGTGGGATTCGTGCCCAGGTCCTTTTCCTTCAACTCGATTTCCAGATAAGCAGGCTGCTAATGCGGGATTTCATTGCAGGGCAGGACAACGAGAGTGTGCTATGCTCTACCGGAGACGTCCCCTCTGTTTTGTTGGGCTCTATTGCGAACCATGATGGACCATATGACGGAGTGGAGACTTCTTGCGCATATTTGACTGGTTGAATGGAGTTGAATGACTTGTTTCCAACATGTAATGTATGTTCAATATGTTCACTATCTTGGGTATAATATGTTATGGTCCTTAAAGAGGTATCGAAAAAAAGGAATTCAACTGTGGGAAAGTTCTCCTTTAAACTCCGCCAGGAGATCACCGAGGTTTGGCGCTGGAGGATGTGGAACATGTCCACAGCGACTACGACCGCAACGAATTTAGTAACTTCGACAGCTTCAAACAGTCGAATTCTAATTTCTAGCAGTTGGACGAAGTGCCGGGCCGGTACGTTCTGGTAAACGTGCAAACTACTTAACCAATTGCACCGAGAGCTTAAGCCTCCAACATCGCGTTGTTCGTTAATTAATCCATTTCTTCGAGCCGGGTGTGCATAGGTCAGGCTACTTACAATACGCTTGTTACGCGTCAATTTCAGAAATGAGTACGTATGAGACGATATTATTTTAAAACGAGCAGCAACGCTAGGGCAGAAGTTCAGCTAATCAGCATCATTGGGAAAAACAGAGGAAGCACATTTCGACAAAGAGGTCCAAAAGGAAGAAGGAAGAAAATGGAAAAGAAAAATAGATACAAAAACTCTCGACCAGGGAGTCGAACCCTGCTCTCCCGCGCGAAATTCTAGACAATGATGGATGACAAGCGGGTGTACTGAACCGATATACTAGTCAAGACATACCCATCCCTGCCATGAAAGAATATAACTATGGATCTCTCCCAACACGCGTACGATCCATAGAACGATGAAGTTCAAGTTATTTTGCGACCTGCAATCATGTCGAGCACCCTCAACGTTTTCGTCGTCTCTCTGGACACGCACTCGGAACGGCGTATCGATCCTCACATCACTGTGGAGCAACTCAAGGTTGCCTAAATACCTCTTGCTCGCAAGTGAGAGGACTGAGGCTTGCTTGCATATAGAACAAACTCGAGCTCATAACTGGCGTTCCAGTCGCGAATCAGGCGATCTCGATTCAGACGTCCGTAGACGATCCAACGCTTGTTGCGACTTTGACAGACGACGCGAAGCCCTTGGGTTATTATGGCTTACGCGACTGGCATGTCCTCAAGGTGTGTGCGGCTTGCCGCGATGTGTGCAGAGTGAATAACGCAATGCAAGGTCGACGACACGAATCCGTCGACATCGTTGACAGGCCAACTGACCGATGTGACGCAAGTCGACAAATTCGAGCTCAGCGACACGGCGTATGCGGAGCGCACTGGTCAATTCCACCGTCTCACCACAAAAGTCGCGCGCTAATTGTGACCTCAGATACTGTGTTGGCCTACAAGCAGCGAAATAAAGTAGGACGGTTCGCGCCCAAGGATGAGAAGCCCAAGGCAACCCTTGAAGTGAAGATCGATGTCGGGTCGCGATGCGAGGTGGAGTCGACCGAGCCCGGGCTAAGCAAGCGGGGGACGGTGCGCTTCGTTGGTAAAACGAGCTTCGGAACCGGAGAAGGCGTTTGGGTCGGCGTCGAATACGATGAACCCATGGGCAAGAACGATGGATCGTGAGTTTTTCAATGCCGACTGACAGCCTAGAAATTGACGCGTCACAGAGTCAAAGGGGAACGCTATTTTTCGTGTCGTCCTAATTATGGCGCGTTTGTGCGGCCAGAAAAGGTGAAAGTCGGGGATTTTCCCGTGGAGGAGATTGATTTGGACGAGGAGATGTAAGAAATGAATTTTTGTACGATGTTAGCATTACAATACGCGATTTGAGACTTTGAAAGAACAAAAAGGAATGCAGGAGAAGGACCAAGAATTTTTGCCACGTGCGTGTTTGGGAGTATTAGTATCTAACGCCGCGACGCGCAAGCGTTTCTCTCAAGTTTCTCTTTACATTCTCTTTCTTCAACTTCCACAATGGCTGACCCCAGCGGCGCACCTCCTCAACCAGGCCCCAATGATGTCTCCACGGCCATCCTAAGGCCCAAGAAATCGTACGTGCTACACTCGGGGCGCTTACCTCGCATATTGATTCGTTTTCAGGCCGAATCGGCTTATGGTCGATGAGGCAGCGACGGATGACAACTCCGGTACGTGGTCTTTGAAAGACAAAGGATGTGACCTCATTCAACGCAGTCGCAACTCTGAATCCCGCGACCATGGAGATTCTGGGCCTGTTCCGTGGCGACACGATTATCGTCCGGTAAGTCTCTTGTTATTCGTCTTATCGACGCGTACTCACTTTTTCGGCCTTAGTGGGAAGAAACGGCGCGACACCGTGCTCATCTGTCTTTCTTCAGATGATGTCGAAGAGGGCCGCATTCAGGTGAACAAAGTCGCCCGCAACAATTTGCGTGTAAAACTCGGTGACCTCGTCGGCGTGCACCCATGTCTCGACATAAAATATGGCAAGCGCGTGCACATTCTGCCGTTCGACGACTCCATTGAGGGTCTGAGCGGTAACATCTTCGACGTCTACTTGAAGCCGTATTTCCTAGAGGGTACGCATCCGTTGCCTAATCCCTTTGGCCTGCTGCTGACTCCAATGACCAGCGTACCGACCTGTCCGCAAGGGCGACACCTTCCTTGTGCGCGGAGGCATGCGGACAGTCGAATTCAAAGTGATCGAAACCGACCCTTCTGAATTCTGTATCGTCGCGCAAGATACTGTCATCCACACCGGCAAGTATCGCATTTTCCAAGCAAGTTTGTGAGCTAATTCGAGGTGAACAGAGGGCGACCCAGTCAAGCGCGAAGAAGAGGAATCAAACCTCTCGGACGTCGGCTACGACGACATTGGTGGATGCCGCAAACAGATGGCACAAATCCGTGAACTGGTAGAGCTACCCCTTCGCCACCCGCAACTATTCAAGTCCATCGGTATCAAGCCCCCTCGCGGTATCCTGCTGTTCGGTCCCCCCGGTACTGGTAAAACTCTTATGGCGCGAGCGGTGGCCAACGAGACCGGCGCGTTCTTCTTCCTGATCAACGGCCCCGAAATCATGAGCAAGATGGCTGGGGAGAGTGAGAGCAATCTGCGGAAAGCATTCGAGGAGGCGGAGAAGAACTCACCGGCCATCATCTTCATCGACGAGATCGACTCCATCGCGCCCAAGCGTGAAAAGGTGAATTGCATTGGTCTTTTTTTGACGTCCAGTTTCTTACTACCACATACTTTTAGACGAACGGTGAAGTCGAGCGACGTGTTGTCTCGCAGCTCCTCACCCTTATGGACGGGCTGAAGGCGCGCTCGAACGTCGTCGTCATGGCTGCCACCAACCGACCGAACTCCATCGACCCTGCTCTCCGGCGATTTGGTCGGTTCGATCGTGAGGTCGACATCGGTATTCCTGACCCAACGGGCCGTCTTGAGATTCTTCGTATCCACACGAAGAACATGAAGCTCGGCGAGGACGTTGACCTGGAGCAGGTGTGTACACTTGCCCTTTGCTAACAACCTACTGATGAGTACCCAGATTGCTGCTGACACTCACGGATATGTCGGTTCTGACGTGGCTTCTCTGTGCTCCGAGGCTGCTATGCAGCAGATCCGGGAGAAGATGGACCTCATCGACCTCGACGAGGACACCATCGACGCAGAGGTGCTCGACTCCCTCGGCGTCACCATGGACAACTTCCGGTTCGCACTCGGGACGTCCAACCCCTCGGCGCTGCGCGAGACGGTCGTGGAGGTTCCGACGGTCAAGTGGGACGATGTTGGTGGTCTGGAGAAGGTCAAGCAGGAGTTGCAGGAGACCGTGCAGTACCCCGTCGAGCACCCCGAGAAGTTCCTCAAGTACGGCATGTCGCCGTCAAAGGGTGTTCTGTTCTACGGGCCTCCTGGTACGGGTAAGACCATGTTGGCCAAGGCCATTGCCAATGAATGTAATGCCAACTTCATCTCCATCAAGGTACTTTCGCTTATTTCTACTTGATTTATCACCAGTCGCTGATACAATTCTTATAGGGCCCTGAACTGCTCACGATGTGGTTCGGTGAGTCGGAGGCGAATGTGCGCGACGTGTTCGACAAGGCACGGGCTGCGGCGCCGTGTGTCATGTTCTTCGATGAGTTGGACTCGATCGCCAAGGCGCGTGGGGGCGGGGCTGGCGACGGTGGAGGTGCGGGCGACCGTGTGCTGAACCAGATCCTGACGGAGATGGACGGGATGAACGCGAAGAAGAACGTTTTCATCATCGGCGCGACGAACAGGCCCGACCAAATCGACTCTGCCCTGCTGCGTCCCGGACGTCTCGACCAATTGATTTATATTCCCCTGCCGGACGAGCCCTCACGGCTGTCCATCCTCAAGGCGTGCCTCAAGAAGTCGCCCGTCTCGCACGAGGTCAATCTCGACTTCTTGGCCAAGAGCACGCACGGGTTCTCTGGTGCTGATCTCACGGAGATCTGCCAGCGCGCCGCGAAGCTGGCTATCCGCGAGAGCATCGAGTCGGACATCCGCCACACCCGCGAGAAGAAGGAGAAGGACGAGGCGGCGGGCGATGATGACATGAAGGTCGAGGAAGAGGCCGAGGAGGAGGACGACGTCCCTGAAATCACCAGGTTCGTACTGTTTTCCTTCTTCCTACATGCGATGCTTACTGTGATTGCGCAGGGAGCACTTCGAGGAGGCGATGAAATTCGCGCGCCGCTCCGTGTCGGACCAAGATATCCGGCGCTACGAGATGTTCTCACAGAACCTGCAGCAATCGCGCGGGTTCGGGAACAACTTCAAGTTCCCCGAGGGCGAGGGTGGGTCTGCGCCGGCCGGGACGAGCTCGGGGAACGCTGGGTTCACGGAGGACACTGCGGACGACGACCTGTATGCTTGAAAACGATTATTACTTCACTCTCCATTAGTATAGTAGCATGAATGATTAGATTTTTGTTCGTGTTGACTGGTCTTTTGAGCTCGGCGTCTCCTTTCCCAGGCCTGCAGCTGGCCCAACGTTGGGGTGGAAACAGATAGTATGTCGCATCCTCTCGTGTTATTCACGGCGTCGGCCAGCCTTTGGGCTTGCTAGGAATCAGGCCAGAGGCCACTTCATCGGCAAGCAACGCGGATCGCAAGCAAGCAAGCAGATACATTCATGGTAATAAATACACCGTACACATAACAATACAACTCGCGCGATGGAGTGAGGAGGCACGGGTGTCGCAAGGGAGGTAAGAGGTTTCGCAGGGGGGTACGGGTTTCGCAAAAGTATGGTGGGGGTGTCGCGAGGGGTGATCGTAGGAAGGCAGGAGGTCGGCAGGTCGGCAACGGCGGGGACAGCTGAATAGAAATACCGTATCAGCGATCGATTATCGCACAAGAACTCGAGAAAACAAGCTTACTCGGCCCAAAAGCACGACAGATTGAATCGCCCAGCGCCTACCATCGGGATCGCAGGGGCTAGAAGAGATGATCAGCAGAGCTGCAGGGAGCTGCAGAGAGGACTTGCCTTGAGCGCTGCGAGCAAAGGGGGCCATGGCAAAACCACTTCGAATAGGAGACATCGCGCTACATGAACGTCGACAAGGGAGAGAGAAGACGGAGATTCTGTAAGTACCTGGAGTCAAACCAGTAACTCCGTCCGCGAAAGCACCCAAACGAGAAGGACCGGAGTCGACCGGTGGAGAGAGAGATTGTACGTCGATCGACTGGGGGTAGCTGAGGAACTCGCATTAATAACTGGGCAAGGGCGATGGTATCCTCACAAAGAAGCGTTGTTCATGTGCT